TGGCTTCCTCAATCTCCGTCGAGCGTGCTGACGCGGCTGATGACGGTATGAATGTTGACTCTGCAGGGAAGCAGATATCTGGTACGCAGACCTAACAGGTTGCTGACTCTGAATACTTAAAATGTCTGAAAACTGAATCTGAGGTAATGGAGATTCCGGGATAGCATTACTTTCTTTCTCCCATTCCTCTTTAGAGCTGACAACTGATTCACCTTCATAAACCGAGGTATCTGAGATGTCTCGGATCTTTCCACTCTTGATTCCGCTCTCAATACGTTCTCCTGCTATCACTAAGTCAGCAAAGTTTAACGTTCCGCCACTAATCAATATATCGTAGTAATGGCCCTTCAAAGTACCCAAGAAGATGTCAACCAATTCTCTATCCTGAAGCGGTGGTTGAACACGAGCAGCAAATTCTCTCCATCTCTGCACATACCCTCTAAAGGATTCATTCTCCGCTTGAGATAATTCTTGCAACTGCATGCGGCTGGGATTCATGTCGAGATTGTAGTTGTACTGCTTCACAAAGGCATTGGCTAAATCTGACCATGATCGGATGCAACCACTTTCCAACTGCATATACCAACTCAACGATGCCCCACTCAGACTTTCCTGGAAACAGTGAATCATAAGCTTGTTATTGTGGACATGCGAGGTCATTCTTCTGCAATACATCACCAAATGCTGCTTCGGACAACTATCCCCTTTGTACTTCTCAAAATTGGGCGCCTTAAACTTCGGAGGCATCACAAGACCTGGCACCAAACACATGCTCGAAGCATTCAAATTAAGAGTGTTTTGACTCATCAGAGCATCAAGCTTTTCATCCAACAGACGATATCTTCTCATAAACTCAACAGTCTGTGGGTCCTTAGGAGTGATCTTCGGAACAACCCTTTGGGAATCTGGCACAGAGAAAGTGAAGTTCTGATAGTCCGAGTCGTGGAGAGAAGATGAATCTCTATCTCTGACAATAGTATGCTCTTGACCTTCGACAGGAATCTGCACAGGCTGAGCTCGAGCAACATTGTTCACTGGAGTCCTCTGAACATTGGTCTCTCCTCTTGTCATAGCTGACATGGCCTCCATGAGTTGATCCAACTGATTCTTCATCATCTCAAACTCTGCCCTCGTAACAACCAAATTCTGCTCCTCTGAGCCCATGATCCTTCCAGAAGCTAACTCAAATCCAATGTGAATGTCGGGAAATCAACTGCGGGTTGGACAAAAGACTGGTAAGCTCTCTGTTCCGGCTGAGGATGGACATGCAAAAATGAGATGCACATGAAATGCAATGCAAAATGCTGATGCAACACACAAAGAATCAATAGTCACAAATCCTGCAATACAACACAACGAGATATCTCTCACCTCGGGTGGGAAATCTATTGGTTTATAAGAGGGTATCCCAAAGGCCTTTAAACAAAGTCCCATGCACTAACCCTCAAAAGTTTTCCATCAGAACGACTACTCGTAAGACGGTAATCCCTTCAAAAGGATGAACACAGAGTTATGTTTTAGGAACCTTCGGAATAAGGTTCTACAAAAGGTCCTCAGAGTCGCCGACTCTCAAGTTGAAGATAAGAACACCATTACGACTACACGTAAGACGTCATTATTCCAACGGGGTCTCATCTGAGCGGTGAAATTCGATCCAACTCAACGAGTCCTAAGTCTCGCAAATCAGAAAGAAACCACCTCCTAACTTAGTGCATACTCGAAAGCTCGGGTAGAAAGCTTTATCCTTACAACCCATCCCAATAAACCCAACAGGTAGAGAATAAAACACAAAATAAATTAAAGCAAAAATCAAAACACAAACACGACAAACAATTTAGGCTTGGCTTGCTAGGTTGCTATTCCCCAGCAGAGTCGCCAGCTGTCGCTACTCGAAAAATGCATCGCGCAACGACGGGGAGGCGAAAAAGATAGACAGAAGAGTCGCCACCGGATTTTATTTATCCCATGAGGGGAAAGGAAAATATCGAGAAAACCTTAAGAAAAGAATGGATAAGATGGTCTCGTAACCAAGAACGGGTTCGGAAGCCGGTTATGTGAGGGGAAGGTATTAGCACCCCTCGCATCCATCGTACTCGATGGGAACCTTTTGTTTGTCGTACGTGTGAATTTATTTGCTTAAATACTATGTTATAAAGAGAGTGTTCCAAGGGGAAAGGGAAAGGTTAGAAACGGGGAACAAAGGGGTGACGAGGGAAGGAAAGGACTCGATAGGACTTCGCGGTCCTAGGCCTACGTATTCTCAACAAATGTGAGAAAGTCAGAGTCGACGTAGTTCGGGAAACTACGGGTATAGGGGGATTGTGCTCGCCAAGACATCACCGTCTTGTGCCTACGTATTCTCATCTGGTATGAGAAATCAGAGCAGACGTAGTTCGGCCAACTACGGGTGAAAGGTGAAAAAGGGAGCTCGCCAAGACATCACCGTCTTGTGCCTACGTATTCTCATCTAGCATGAGAAATCAGAGCGAACGTAGTTCGTGCCTACGGTTTGTTGATGTTTTTTATGGATGATGCTATCATGCACATTCTAGCAGTTAGGTGGTTTGCTGCTCGCTCGTTGGAGACTTAGGCATTACCTGTTTGCGGTAGAACGGACGTAACATATCCTTTTGAAAGATTGATTAGTTTTCGCCACGCGGGGAAAGAAGTCACGTTTGATTGATTGGATTGTTTTTTAGGGGGCGATACAGGTCTTCGGATAGTAACCCCTACGGGTAGTACCCAATTCTTTATCTCAAAGTTTTTGTTATAAAAGGGTGTGGCGAACGAGGCGTCTTCGTATTGAAAGACGAGTATCGAAACCACCCTCACTACAGTGGGCATCCCAACGCTCGAAGAAGAAGAGGTCTACACTCAATCCTCTTTCTTTAGTTCAATGCAAAGAGAACTTCGTTCTCTTATTAAAATATTTTTGGTTTTGAATGGTAAGTGCTTTGCGACAGAGAACCCTACGGTAAACGTCAGCACTCGGGATAGGAGAAGACCTACGCCTAACCACTCCACGACCATTCAAGTCTTTGTATGAAAAGGAATTTGAAAATGCACTCGGTACGTGACCGAGGTTTTAGGTGGGAAAGGTTTCGGAAAGGAGTTGTGAAAGTGAGAGGTGGTGGACAAAGTCGCATCTTCGTAATGAAAGACGAGTATCGAGACCACCCTCACTACATTGGGCATCCCAACACTCGAAGAAGAAGAGGTCTACACCCAATCCTCTCTTTTTAGTTCAATACAAAGAGAAATTTATTTTAAAGATGGTTTGAAAATGGACTCGGTACGAGACCAAGATTTTCGAAAAAATGCACTCGGTGCGGAGCCGAGGTTTTAGGAGGAAAAGGGGTGGAAGAGTCTTCGTATTGAAAGACGAGTGTCGAAACCACCCTCACTACAGTGGGCATCTCGGCACTCGGAGAGGAAGAAAGTCTACACTTAATCCCCTCGTTTAGTTCAATACAAAGATGATTTGATTTTGAAGATTGTTTGACAATGTTTTTGAATCGAGTTGGGATAAGAAGCGAGGAGAGAAAAAGGGGTGGTCTCAGATCCAACATTACTTATCAATAATTTGACTGGTAATGAATTACGGAGGTCTCGTCATCGACCAAAACAGATGAAATAAAATAAAATGTCCAATAACAAAAGAAGAATAAAATCCAACTTTTGAGATGATAATAAATATCCTAAACTCTAATATTATAAACTAAAAATAAATATATAATATTTACATAATAAAAAGTTTATAAAAGAAAATAATAATAGTTTACTTATAATGAGAAAATGCTATATATACAAAGTTATGGAAAAAATAAAATAAAATAAATAATAAAAACAATAAAAATTCAAAAAAAATAAAATTGATAAAATGATTAAAATCATAAAAACAAAAGTTGATAAAATAATTAAAATCATAAAAAACAAAAGTTTGATAACTAAAATAAAATAAAATAATTAAAAACAAAAGGTGACAGAGCCCTCTTCTTCCCAATCGTCTCTCTCGCTCTTGTTCTCACCCTTTCACGATAACCCCCAACATGACTCCTTCTTCAGCCATCTTAGAGCAGCAAGAACTGAGCGAAGCGGTTCATCATCTTTGCCGCGAAGACGTCATGTCGACCCCAACCTCCTCTGATCTTGCTTTCACACTATTCTCTCCTTCTCATTATTTTGGATTTCATCTTCTGAGTTCGATTAAGGTCGTGATTTGGTTGAAATGGGTAATGAGTTTACTTCTGTGAATGGGTTTCCACGAGTTAGGTTTATGATGGTGTGTGGTTGGAAGAAGAATGGTTTGAGTTGATGAGGGTTAAAGGGTTACGGACGTTGAAAGAAAAAGAGGAAGATGATATTTGAGAAGATGAAGCGGATGATTTACGGTGGGTTCGCTGGGTTTTTCCAGAAATGGGTTCTCATCTGAAAAGGGGTTTGAATAGGGGTTGTTGGAAGGTTGAATCTGAAGGTGAAATGGAGGATTGAGGTGTGGTTACAGGGGTTCTGTTGGCTGTTTCTTGGATGAAAAAGATAACTACGAAGGATGACAAAGTTATTGGTGAGTCTGAAGATGATGAGTTCTGGGAATATGGTTTACGTTTGGTTTTTTAACAGGTGTTTGTTTTGAGCGAGAAGGTTGTGTTTCCATATCAATGATTCAAGGTAGTTGCGAGGTTATTTTGGCAAGGCGGCATGTGATTAAGGCACAGAGATGAGGTTCTGTAGTTTGATGGGAGTTTATTGGAAACAGAAGAAGATGATGTATGAAGTTTTTGATTGAAATGAGTTGAAGGTTGAATTTATTTTTCAGAGGTTGAAGATGGATGAAAGTGGTGAATGAGGGGGAGGTTCCGAGTGGTTTCTACTTGTTGCTGCAAAGTGGTTTCGAAGACAAAGATTGTGGTTTTTGGAGAGAGTGAAGAGTAGTGTCTGAGTTTTTGAGTGAGGATCTGTTGTGTGGTATATAGAACTGAGGTTGGTTTGAAGCAACCTTTTCAAAAAAGTTCCTTGTCTGGCGTGGGATTTTTGTAGCAGAATTTGTCTGGTGTGCTGGGTGCAGTAGTGTGGTTGTCTGGCGGTACGGTTTGCGGCAGGTTGTTGTCTGCTTGTTGGTAATGGTTGTGATACGGCTGGGAGGTTGGGGTAGAGACTGATAGAGTCAAAAGTAAATCTTTTACCATGTTACTTGCCTGTGCAATTTGATCAAATGTTCCCTCAAGTTCAATGTTTATAAGATTTGGGTCAGATTCACGGTCACGAATTGAAAATTTGACTCCTGTTTGGCGACAGATCTGCTTCGAGTTCACACCACCCTTTCCAATGATGGCTCCAGCCAAGGAAGCCTCTACACTGATCTTGGCAGTGGAATTGGCACCAAAGCTAGTAGTGCCCAAACCAGAGGGAGCCTCAGTTCGACCAGCCATACGATTAACTGTTGTAGGTGCCAATTGTCGGTGATCATCAATTGATGGAACAAAAGGTTTGCCAAGTTCCCACTCACCATGGGCAAAATGGCACTTGTCACCAAATTTGCAGCCCCCCGCAGAATTAAACTTATTACATATGCGGGTTTTAACAGCTTGCAGTGCAGATCCATTGTTTTGACTTGAACTGTTGCTAAAAGTAAATATATTTGCGGGTGATGTTGACAATGACGTAGATGCTGCAGATGGTTCTGATGATTGAGCATAGACTTTATTTCGTCGAAGACTGCAAACAGAAAGAGTCCCGTCTCCACTTGTGGCCAATAGTTTCATTGCATCAGATGCAAATGTTATGTCTGAAATGTAATCCTCGTGGACTTCAAATGAATTGCAACAAGAACGTTCTCTGGTATCCCAAACCTTAATACAACCATCATCATCTCCTGAAGCAACAGTTGACTCGGTCAAGTTTATCAACCTGTTGATCGCAGCCTCATGGGCATTATCAAGTCGGGCAATGGTTGATCCAGTTTCCACATCTGTAGCCAGTATCGAGAAATCGGGAGAGCCCGTCAACAGCGCTCGTCCACCACTGATGAATCGCGCAGCTCTGCAAGACTCGGTGTGGGCATGAATTTCCAACACCCTCACAGGATCACTATTAGTATTATCCGGGCTATAACGGTATAAGTGAAGGTCGCCGTCTATGAGTCCGGTTGCAACGAGATTATCTGATGGATGAAAATCAATGTCAAATGCAAGTTTCCCCAAATTGATTTCCATTCCTCTGCAGCGGGGCTGTGGCTTCAGTGTTGACCGGAGAATTTGGCTGTCGGTGGGGCGACAATGGACAGTGGCGGCGCGCCGCGAGCAGAGAGATGGAAGTTGGCCGCACCAGTAGAGCCTTTTGTTTCTTTCTCGGATGTTATGACGGGTCTGGGAGTAGTGCCTTGCAGATCTGACCCTTTAATAGTATCAGTGTTCCACCTGTGTTGCCTTCTTTGCAGGCTCATTATTTTCGACTAATGTTTGTTTAGGATATTTTCGCTTCTCTCGAATTCAGTTGGGCAACAGCAGCCGGTTGACCCTTGAGCATCAAGCTGGAAGGACTGCCAGCAGCAGTTCTAGTCCCAGTTTCGGAGTCAGTTGCCAGAGGACTACGATTGCGTGAGTCTGCTGGCTCATCACTATCAGCAGAGCAATTACTGAAGACTAAAGTGTTGACAATATCTCCATCCAGATCTGCAGGATTTGTCCCACAGCGTATGCATACAGATTTCGGAAGTGGAAGAAACAATGATGACTTGGATGACTTTTCCAGTCTTGACTTTGCTGATATACTAAAAAAAGTATCTTAAATCCTCCTTCACCGTATTATCTGCAAATATAAACTCAACAGCATTCTTTGATAGCTCAAACATCTCCTTCCTTCCAAGGCCGAATGAAGAAGCGGCTATTTTGTATTCATAGGAGAGACTGGTAGAGAACACACCCGAATCATCAGTACACGGAACTACAGGATGTTTTGCTTTATACAAGTCCACAAAATGATGAGCATCTATTGATGGAACGGACAGCGTCCTGATGTTCGACGTCAAGCAAAGTTCAACCGGAATTTTAGAGGACTTCAGCTTTCTCCAGTGTTCCTCCTCAAAGAAACATGCATGTCCAATCCTCCCAGGAAGAAAGTCAAGCATATCATGTATATCTCTCGAATTAGGTACCTCTCCACAGTGAAGAGTTACGTAAAGACCTTGCTCTCGAGCAAATTTTAATGCTGGAAAATATGTAATCCATTCACCCACAGCTGGATTCCCAGAGAGGTCAATTCCAACGACCCCAAAATGCCTCATTTCCAGGGCAAACATGACAGTTTCCATTGCTGCTTCTGATGTTTCCCTACGGTCAATGCTTAAGAGAAGTCTAACAAAGATTTGTTTCCTAGTATTTTCATTAATTTTATCATTTGTAGCTAAGACTGAGTGTATAGGGTTTGAATGAATTTGTAACTCCTCGTTGTGAGGAATAAAACACACATCAACTGAACTCACAACTCTTAGACCTTCCAAAACAGCTTCAATATAAGAGCGTTTGCTCATTCCTTTGGCCTCATTTTTCTTTGGAGTAGTTCTCAACTCCACATACACAACATTTTCTGACGCAAAATCTTCAACAACTTCTTTGGTAATTCTTGCAACGGTGGCATGGTCAGTTGTAAGAATGTGGATTACGTCAAACAGCTTGAATACCTCAGATAATGAACGATCATTTTTGAGGATAACATGCTCTACTTGAGAGAAATCTATGAGACCCTTGTGACCCAAAGCTTTAGCAAGTTCTAGAAGGGTGGAGTCTCTAATGGATCCATTGAGGTGAGCATGGAGTTCTATCTTTGGCATTGGCATACACCACTCCATTTCTCTCTTCCCGATTTGGGTGATACTTTGAATTAGTCCTTGAGCATTAAAGTCAGTCACAGAACAAACTTAATCATGAGTCAATTGTCAAATCATTCTTGATGTTTGCCATTTGAAAACATGATGAGTTGAAGCCTTCATGGAACACTCCATTTAAATCAATGCACCATGACCTTGATAACAAGGTAGATCCTTTTCTTGCTGATGAATTAAGTCAAACCTAGACTTCGACATACACTTCACTCATTCCTACTTAATGAACCCCAACCAAAACCTATCCAATTCGGCTCAATCTTATGATGGAAGCAACATATATTTTTTTATTTTTCTGCCCCTGACAATCACATATGCTTATCTGTTTGTCTTCAAGGACCTTGACTTGTCTCTGATAAGGGTAACCACTTGGTGGCTTGAATATAACCTCCTTGATCAGGTTAAAAACCATTGGTAATTTTTTGTTAGACACACATTTCTTGATCCCCTGTGAAATGCAAAATGCTATGCAATGCAATGCTTACGTATGTGCTGATGCAATGAAATAAAACATAAGCCAGAGAGGTCGGTCAAATTTTGGGGTACAACAATCCTCATCAGAGAATGAGAAATCAGAGTCAACGTAGTTCGGCTAACAACGGGTTACGGGGAAGGTGGCTCGCCAATACATCAGTATTGTGCCTACGTACTCTCAACAGGCATGAGAGATCAGAGCTTACGTAGTTCGGGGTAATACGGATTACGGGGATTCATATTCATCTGTTTTTTCGAGTAGGGTTAACAAACAGTTCCAGTAGTTGGATGTACGCAGCTCGACCCTTGGAGACTTAAGCGTTACCGTTTGCGGTAGAACTGGGAGTTAACGACACTCTTTTCTTCAGAAACGCTTCCTTTGAATTATGGGCCCACGGGGCAAAAAGGTTTGAAGTTTGTTTTCTGTCTTTTACGAAAGAACTGTTTTTTATGGATGTTTGCAACCACTAGCGCACTAGAGACTATGACCTGAGAGTGAATGCGTCGCATGTCACCCAAAGGGTGCCATACTAAACATCCAGACTGATGAAAAGAAACTCTCCAACAATACTTTCTCAGATAGATTAAGGCTCGTAACGTACGACATCAACTAACCTTTATTACTGTATTTTGATTTGTTTCAAGATGAGAAGAGAACGAACATGCTCAACTAAGGAGAGACTATCAAGTCCTAATGTTGTCATGTCAAGGATTCATCCTATGGTTGAGGTTTGAAACAGGGAACTCCTAGAAGTTATCATGCATAGGTTTCAACCTAAAGTTCTAATCATCACTTCCTTATCAAAGGAAGTGAGATTCCTAGGGGATCATGTCAATGATAAACAGAAACAGATAAAGCATCAGCTTAAACAATATGCAGATATACAGTAAACGACTGTAAAATGCATGCAATGCAAGTGAGGGAGGAAATGTGTGTGGGACATCAGCCTCCACAAGCTCATCTCAACCTCAAGCCAAATATGAATAACTGTAATCATACAGAAGAAAATAAAATGCTATCAAGCAAATCAAACCACATAGGCAAGGGAGCAGGACTCTACCGAATACCAGCAAGCAAAGCCATACAGTAACAATACAAGCAGAGGGAGCAACTCAACCTCTAATGCAATCATGCTCCTAGCTTAACACAATCTAAACATAAACTTATTCTAATACATCAAGCAAATCAAACAAGTCACATCAATATAGTTGCACAGAAAGCAAACAGACAGGAAAGAAAGCAGATCAACAGCTTCCCTAACTTCACAGCAAAGCAATCTGCTGACAGCAACTCAGTCCTCAGCCTGCAACTGCACTTCAAGGTTATCATCTTCAATAGCAAGTGTCAACTTGCTGCTCTGAGCTTCCAACACATCAAACACAAGTATCAACTTATTCTCTCTTGTTTAGGCCTCAACTCCAAAGTGAACTCCACCTTCAGGCTTCAATCCTAACTGCAAGTATTAACTTGTTCCTTCAGGGACTTAATGCATTAAACTCACAAGTATCAACTTGCTCCTTCCTTAAGCTTCAGCTTCTTCATTCCATTTCCCATGGATTCCTCTCACAAATATCTACTTGTTCTTCTTCTTGAAGCTTCAGCTTCAATGGGTGGTCTCCAAACACAAAGAAGTAGCAACCTCTAGCATTCAATCTTCTTCAAGCAAGGAACTCCATCCTCTAGCAAGGGAGAGAGATTCATCTAACAAGAGCAAGGTTTGGATGATTGACAGCAGAGTGAAGACCAAAGGTCACCACTAAGCATCCTATCATCAGAGAAAGGGACCCTCAAAGGTTCTACCAACTTGTAAAGAGCCACACATCCTACCAAAGGAGGGATGAGGCCTTTACAAAGGGACCTTACATCATAGGGAAGAATGGAAGTGATCAACATCTTCCATATTTATGAAGGAAGAGAATCTATCTAGAAGCTCTGCCTACAAACCCTAATCTTAACACCTAATCAACACTACACCAAAAGAAGGGAAGATCTTCACATCTAAGCTTCTTCAAACACTCCATGGTAGCCCAAGCTTGTCTTCAACATCATCCAAGAGCAAGGGAGACAAGACCCTAATCTAAGGGAACTAAAGAAGTCATTCTATTTGAATTAGTGCATTAGAATCATCTAAAGCCTAGTACTAAAGTTAATTCTAACTAAAATAGTAAACCACATTGTAAATTCCTACCAAAATTCCTAAGGGACCCTAATTCAATCATGAATCTACCATACAAAAATCAGAGGTTGAATCATCCACCAAGTTCTAGAAATAAAACCTAAATCATAAGGTACTAACCATAAACCCTAGAAATGGAGCTCCTAAAGTTTCAACCTAGAACTACCACTTATATTCATCACAAAAATGTGAGAAACATCTAGGGGGAACATGCATATCTATGCTAGCTACACACAAAAAATCAAGGCAAAAATCATCATCAAATGATCAAACCAAAATCAACAAAATCAAGTATCAACCATGGTCATTTTAATATCAATTAAAATGTAAAAAATGCTAATAAAATCAAAAATGCATGAAACATTAATATTTTTTCTCTCTAAAAAAACTAAATCCAATCATGAATCAATGGAAAAAAGAAGGGAATCATTTGAATTATATTTCTATTTTTTATGGATGATTCAATAACCATGAATGAAATAAAAAAATAAAATGAAAATCCAAAGAAATTGATAAATGCGTGGTGTGGATAGCACATTTTCTCAGTTCATTATCCAGACTGGGCCATAAGGGGGGTGGTGATATCAATTAGTGACTTAAGCCCATGACCAACATTTAAGTTATACAGTGCGTTTTGGCTTTTACTCACACTCTTCACAAAATCTGCCTCACTCGTGGCCGT